AATAAATAATTAACCTTCTCTGATTATTTTTATATTTAATTTTAAAAATGGTTTGCATTTAAATTTGGCATACAAACTTTATAAAGTAGTTCCATAATTTGTTTAACACGATACACCTTGGATTGTATATTCATTTCTATAGGTGTGTAGTATTTATCATCAGGAGTCATGCCTTTCCATTTTTCAAAAAAAAAAAAAATTGATGTTAGTGTCTATGTGCTTTCATTACCATACATATGAATGTCTATATTTTTATACTTATTACAAGGTACAAGAAAACTTTAAGTCTGTTTCATATACACTTTTTTTTTAGCCATCGATCCATATCATGGATCATAGTCCATAGCACCCGACCATGAATAATATGTTTACCACTCATGATGGCTCGGCCTTAACTCTAATGACTTGCATCCATAAGTATCAATGATATTTTGTTCGTTCACTTTTGGTAACATTATATTCGCACCCTTTCGGTGATGTTATATTCACACCTTTTTGATGACGTTACATTCTCACCATTTTGGTGATGTTACATTCGCACCCTTTCGGTGACGTTACATTCACACCTTTTCGATTCTGAACCACTCGCACCTTTTCGATTCTGAACCACTCGCACCCTTTCGGTGCCAAACCATTCGCACCCTTTTGGTGCCGAACCGTTCGCACCCTTTCGGTGCCGAACCGTTCGCACCCTTTCGGTGCCAAACCGTTCGCACCCTTTCGGTGCCGAACCGTTCGCATCCTTTCGGTGCCGAACCGTTCGCACCCTTTCAGTGCCGAATCGTTCGCATACCCTTTCGGGCCAAACCGTTCGCACCCTTTCGATCCCGAACCGTTCGCACCCTTTCGATCCCGAACCGTTCGCACCCTTTCGGTCCCGAACCGTTCGCACCTTTCGGTCCCGAACCGTTCGCACCCTTTCGATCCCGAACCGTTCGCACCCTTTCGATCCCGAACCGTTCGCACCCTTTCGATCCCGAACCGTTCGCACCCTTTCGATCCCGAACCGTTCGCACCCTTTCGATCCCAAACCGTTCGCATCCTTTCGGTCCCGAATTGTTCGCACCCTTTCGGTCCCAAACCGTTCGCACCCTTTCGGTCCCGATACGTTCGCACCCTTTCGGTCCCGACACGTTCGCACCCTTTCGCACCCTTTCGGTACCGACACGTTCGCACTCTTTCGGTCCCGATACATTCGCATCCTTTCGGTCCTGCCACGTTCGCACCATTTCGGTTCCGATACGATCGCACCTCTTGGGTTACGATACGTTCGTACCTCTTGGTTCATGACACATTTATACCTCTTGGGTCACGACACATTCGTACCTCTTGGTTCACGACATGTTCGTACCTCTTGAATCACGATACGTTCATACCTCTTTGGTCACGACACATACAAATATTATCTTCTAAAAAGTCAATATTAATATTTAAACTTATGAAAATGTATGAAAAATATGATTGTGGCTATTAAAATGAAATATATGCCTTTTCAATGAAGAGTTGTCAAATATTTGATGACATCATCAATCATATGAAAAGGTTTTTTTTGGTCCATTAGATCTTAAAATCAAGTTAACTATGACCATTGAATTGAATTTTTTTTTTCTATAAAAAAATATTATCTTCTAAAAAGTCAATATTAATATTTAAACTTATGAAAATGTATGAAAAATATGATTGTGGCTATTAAAATGAAATATATGCCTTTTCAATGAAGAGTTGTCAAATATTTGATGACATCATCAATCATATGAAAATGTTTTTTTTGGTCCATTAGATCTTAAAATCAAGTTAACTATGACCATTGAATTGAATTTTTTTTTTTTTATAAAAAAATACTGATGTCATTTTCAGTTTACTATTATATATATTATAATAGATTCTATTTTACAATTTTCATTTACATTTAAAGTGGAGACAAAATAATTGTTCTCATATCAAATTTCACATCAATCTTAAAATGAGGCCTACTTTGAAACTAAAAATGAAAAAAAAAGAAAAAGAAAAGAAAGAGTTCATAACTTTACACTTAGGAAACATAAGTATTATTTAACACTTTCAGGCACAGATTACTCACACATATGGATATGATACAAGAGTAAAAACATAACAATTCTGACACAATCATACATATATTCTTACACATATATAGTTCACAAACAATGGATTCCAAACCAAACAGATTCATCTCTCTCTCTCTCTCTCTCTCTCTCTCCTTTAAGCAAAGAGAATCTGAGAATTCGAGGGAGTTAAATCCCCATAACGCTCTGGAGACTCCACCACTTCCCACCTCACAACAAACTTACCCTCCGACCTCCAAATACTCCCAACCGCAAGATGAAGATTCCTACCAACCACATACACTCTGTTCCCATAACAGTTAACCGCAAACGGTCTACAAATCTTCTCAGGCAACTCCGGTCCATTAACCGTCTCCCACGAGTCCGTAACCGAATCATAAACCTTCATCTTCATCCTTTCCAGCTCCGACACTATAAACAACCGATCATAAATCACCACACTCGTCCCTGTCCATCCTTCTCTCAACCCCATAGCCATTGTCTCCCACTGATCCGTCCTCGGGTCGTAAACCTGACCTCTAGGGGACACAAAGAAAGGCCATAACCATCCTTCAGTAACCAATAGCTTCCCGTTTAAAACCGCTGCGTCGTAAGACGCCATCTGTGTAACCATATTCGAAACGGACTGCCATTTCCCATCCAAAGGGTTTAAAACCTCTGCAGTATCGAGCTCGAACATGTCCGCAGAGTTTCCACCAGCTGCATATATCTTCCCGTCTATCACACCGCTTCCAAAGAACGACCTCGCGGTAATCATCTTGTTAGTGACGGTCCAATGGTTCCTAACCATGTCGTACTTCAAGACCAAGTCAAGAGGACAGTCAGAATCAGAAACCATTCCACCGCACACAAACATAGTGCCTTCATGAGGCATCGAGACCGATCTGAACCCGTGTGGACACACTTTGTCTCTACAAGGCATCGCAGGGATCTCGTGCCAAGTGAGGTTCCTCAAATCCAAAACCTTCCATTGGATCTTCCCTGTGCATCTACTGAACCCGACCACGAACAGCCACGGTTCTTTAAAACCGAGCTCCTTGCGTCTGGCGAAGAAGGTTTCTTTAGCACAGAACAACAAGTGCCATCTCTTGCAGACCGATCTACTCGAGACGTGGCTTTCGACAGGAACCCGTAAGAGGCAGCTGAGAGCAACATCGTCTGGTAAACCGGGAATTAACGGTTCTCCGTTAAGAGAGAGTTCTTGTTCCGATGATGGATCGAATAATGGTGATTGAACCGATGCAGCTACTCTGAATTTGGGAGATAGTGTCATCTGAGAATCGCCAAGCTTGTGTACAGCTGCTCTTTCGGATGAAACCCTAACCCTCTGCATCGTCTTTCAAGAACTTCTATTCAAGATTCCAATTATCAGTGGGAAGCTCAACCTGAAAACGAAGAACCTTAACAATCAGCATCATCACTAACACTAAGACTCATAAACTCTCTGGTTCAGCAGAAGAACTGAAACAAGATCCAAATTCAAGATTCACTGAAACAAACCCTAGCAGAAAAGAAAAGGGGCTAAATCCGTGAAGAAACAGAGAAGCAAGAATTGATCGAAGTCTAAGGAGGAAAGCGAATATTATATTCTTACAGAACAAGAAGGCGATAGATAGATACTGTTGTTGGGTTGCTTCGTCGCAAATCTTTAAGCTCTTTTTGGTAATCGGGAAGACGTAGTTAACACTTATGTAGAAAATAATAATAGTACGCCTGCACAAGTATCTGTCTATTTTATTGAAGTAACTGCCGCAAATCTTTCGTGTAGAATCTGTACATGTCCTAATGACACTTTTTTTTAGTTTCTTTTTTATCTTTTGAAACAGATAAAGAATAGCCACAACAGACCAAAACAGAGTTTTGGTGGTAATTCGAGGAAACGGGCTTCACAATGGGCCTATGTTTATATTAGTGGCACATCTGTAAATGGGTCTTCTTACATTTGGTGATGATGCCAGAGGTAACTTTTTGTGTCTTCAGTTTCTATACAAAAAGGTTTCAGAAGTCCACCTTTTTAAACAAAACTTAAATTCAAATTTTCATTAGCACACTTAAGAGCACTGTTAAGAGCATCTTCATCCATGTTGCTTAAGGGGAAGTGCTTATCAAAAGAATAATAAAATAGTAGGGTGGGTTCCACTAAAGCCCAAGCACTAGTGCTTCTGAGTCCTGTATAAGCGTCGATTTTTGGGAGTGCTTGAACTTTTCGCGTGCCCCACTGACACGTGACGATCCACGATGAATTGCTTTTTAATTTTTTTTTTAATTTTTTAAATCAGGAAAACAAAAAAAAAAATTAAGCATCCCCTTTTATGGTTTCGCGGTAAACCTGCTCTAACCAGCCATGGTTCTTAAAAAAAAAAATAATTTTAGAACTCACGGATCCCACCATTATCTTAAAAACCATCGCTTATGTGTTTGGTGTATGAGCCAACTCTTGCAAGGTTCTTAACTTATTTGCAGGTTCCATCGACACGTGGCGGTCCGCGATTGGATTTTTTTTAAAAACAAAATTTTTTAAAGACAAAAATAAAGATAAAAAAATTTAAAAAAATCCTAAGAACCCTTAGCTAAGAGCTAGGGTTAATGATGCTCTTAGCATGATCAACCCTAGTCTCTTAGTCGGGGTTCTTAACTCATAATTTGATATATATATATATATATATATATTTTTTTTTTACACTTTTTGACTAAGAGATGGTTTATTGCAGGTCTCTTAGTTTGGGTCTCTTAGCGTAATATAAGATACAATCTCTTAGCTTTTAACTAAAAACTAAGAGACATCTCTTAGTTTTTTAATTAAAAGCTAAGATACCGTATCTTATATTACGCTAAGAGATCCAACCTAAGAGACTTGCAATAAACATGATCCCTTATTTAAGAGACAGTTCTTCCCTTTTCTTAAATTTTAATTTGATATTTTTTTAATTTTTTTCTACATTTTTCGGCTAAGAAACGGCTCTTATATCTCTTATTTAAGAGACGGTTATTAGCTTTTCTTAGTTAAAATCTAAGAAAAACTAAGAATCGTCTCTTAGCCGAAGATAAGAATCCCAGTTAAGAGATTGGGGTTAATTATGGTCTAATGATTCAACCACACTCACATACTGAATAATCTAATATCACCTAGAATTACACATTTAGATCCTACGCTACCCCGACATGAAACTCAGATATATTTTCCTTCCAGTGAGAACATGCATTCCTCACGACTCAAGGAAAGTATCCTCTTAACCCCTAAATTAGACCAAACTAGACGACAACAATTGAGAGTCTGAGAAAGTTGGACCGTGAGATCAGTACCTTGAGTAGCTCATTGCATTGTGCTCCATATGCTTGGATTGACAGACCATCCTAATACTTCTTCACATTGCGGTGCCTAATTCGTGTACTGTTCAAACCCTTGAGATCAAGTGTCCACTCCTTAGCCACAAAGATGGGATAAACCTGTACTAGAAAGTCGGACTTTAGCGACAACATCGCAACCGGAACAACAATCTTAGTTTCCAAAGGCGTGACGCTCCACGGCCAAACCGTCACCAGCGCTGGATGTGGAGAGCCACCGCGTACTCACTGCAGGCTTCACCCTTCCGGTAGACCCTTATGTGAGGCTAACCTACGACACATTAGTCTCGAGAACCAGACTGTAACAACCCAGTCCCCCGACGTCCGACCGGGATTTATCAAAAGGGTGTTACAGACACGTGTCTACTCAATTAGACAACCTTAAGTGTCTTTTACTGGTCCCAGGAGTCGGTGGGCGCAATCTATTAATGAACTCCGATCCACCTGTATCCACATACTTCCACTTACAGTCTTGCGCATAAGGGAGACGAAAATGAAGGGATGAGCAATTGGGATTACTCAGTGAAGTGACTCTAGTCCAGCATATCCACATGGCACTCTTCCCTACCCCATGCTGGAACCAAGACCGACTAGCCACGACAATCAATATGCAACATACAAGCCATACAAAAGAATCTCACCAAAGAATTCTAGCACCCTAATGTTCATACACTGCAAAGACTCAGTCGTTGCTTCACATAAACTCAATCATGCACTCATCGTACTTCTTAGACTCAACAATCAACCTAGACCTCTAGGACCTACGGCTGTTTATGGATGTCCCTACACATTCCGGCCTAACCTGAAAGGGGTGCTCTCTCTAGGGAATCCGTTTCCCCCCCTCCAGCTTCCTAAATAACCACCCGTGGGGAGCTCGTTGGCCCACGTGCAGCTTCTGCTGACCCATGTGCAGCACTGTCCACCCGCGGCTCCCGCCACGTACACGGTCAGATGGTCACATTTTGCCACGACTCGGCATTGACTCGATCTTAAGGCCCCTATACCTACTTTTACCCCGCCTTGGCGGTCACCGTCCGTACACGGCCTTTCACATTCCGCCCACGGGTACCTCTTGTAAGGCTACTGTCCCGTGGGCTAACACATCCTAGACTCTAGACGCCCACCCATTCTCGGTGGTCCAAACATGACTTCAAACAAGTTTATTGACTCAATCATCTTTCCGTTCTCATTCACTTTACTCTTTTGCTTTCCCCTTACCGTTCACTTTCACCTTAACATTCTCTTTCACTTTAGCGTTCACTTTCACTTTAACATTTACTTTCACTTTAACTCATTCATTACCACTTAGACACCTTCTTGTACACTAGATGCCATCCATTCTCGGTGTCTCACGCAATTCATTTCACATAGCATTGATACCAACGGGCATCTCAATATCATACGTCTATCAGTCACATTTCACATGTACGTCTATCACCTTAGATACTAATTGATATACTTTACATTCGTCAGCCACTAAATCATTCACCTCCTTCTAGCAACCTAGATTTCATTCACAATCAACTCATGGGACACAAATCAATCACATATCATTCATCATCAACCAGTAACCACATTAACACAAGGCAGTCCATTAAGTCCCATTTAAATAGTGTGAGGGTTCTTATGCATCATGTTTCATCCATCTATCAACCTAACTCCCATTATGATCTATCATTCTAACTTTCAAACAAGGTCTACCCAAACCCTAATGCCATCATCAACTAGAATAGAGGTTATGAGAACAAATCTGGGTCGAATCACCTCACCTTATCTGGATCTGGAAAATGAGATCTGGTCACCGCCACCACACGGTTATACTACCACAGAAGATCTCCGGCGACCACCACCACCACGTGAACGGCAAGGAGAGAGAGGAAGAAGGAGTCGGCGAGGAGAGAGAGAAGAGAGGGAGGCGCGCATAAGAGAGAGAAGAAGACCTTGACGGCTAAGGTTTTCGTGTCTCCGGGATTCTCTGCAGAGCTTCGCTTCCAGATTTTTGAATGGGAGGCAAGAAGGAGGAGGCATCTCCTTTTATAGAGAAACCAAGGAAACCCTAGGTCTTTTGCCCTAATGGGCCGTAGACAGGCCCGTTTACCTTAAAGAAATTTTTCGACCAAGTCATGGGTTGTTACACAGACCTTCTTTCACCGACCGACGCACCACTCCTCTGTTAGTCCGAAGATAGAGAAGGTCTTCCACTAAGCCATGCATACCTGCCGTGAGGAGAAAAAAATTATTCAATGACTCCCTCGACCCTAAAAGCTAGTCGAACTCTCTCGTTGTAGCTTTTCTAAGGCTCACCTCTCCTCCAAGATCGTCGTAAGATGAAAGCTTTAACTCTTAGGTATCCGGTGAGGCCCCGAATCAGAACAGACGATATTTCGACTTAAGATATAAACCGAGCTAAAAGAGGCAAAGGAAAAAGAAGAGAATGGAAAAGAGGAGCCCTCCAACACCGGACGGCAACCAAACCGGAGACATGATGTTCACATATTTGGTTTTCAAGAGATGAAAGGAGAAAACTTAGAGAGAGAGAGAGAGAGAGAGATTATCCAGTTGTCCACTTTTGAGTGTTTAAACAAATTAACCCCAAAAAACCCAAACCTCAACTTACAACTCGATCGAGAATGCATCATGGATAACCAAGAAAGATATATAGTAATGAGGAAGTTTTCTAGAATAGAAAATAATAAAAAGAATATATTCAATAGATTATCATAGTAGATGGATATATTTTCTTTTGCTTTATAAATTATTGTTGAAGGAGTGAAATCTGTTTCAACTTTGGCGTCAATAGTGAAATATGAGCTAGATATATACATGATAATTTCTGACATATGTGCTTTATGTGTTAGCAAATGTTACAGCTGAATAAATTGGATTTTGATATGAATTACCAGATTCTATGAATAATATGATCATCTTGCTTAGCAAAAAAATGACCATCGTGCTTTTTGCGAACATATTTGTTTTGGACGAATACAG